CCCCAAAACCCCAAAACCCCAAAACCCCAAAACCCCAAAACCCCTATTAATTTCACCATGATTGAAGATTTGTAATTAAATTATTTACAGAAGATATGAAGCCTCTTAAAGGTAAGTATGGTCTTAGCAAGTCTATGAAGAAGAGGTCTTATTTGCTTTTAAAGATGAAATATCTAATAATTCTTGTCTAGCTACCAAGCATGCAAAAAATATCAAGCTTAATCAGGTTAAGAGCCTCATTAAAGAGAAAGAACTATCGGAACAAACAAACAAAATCATGAACTCTTTCTATCATATTCATGGACATATCCACCCCCATGAAGTCCTGAACTACAAACAAATGGTCCTGTGCGGGATGGTCTCCATTCCTTACTCACTGGTCCACTTCGACCTGAAGGGGCTGACAGAAGAGAGCGTGCAGAAGGCGGAGGAATCTTTGGGTGAGATTAATGGAGAATTATTGAGGGATGGAAAGGTAGTAGTCAGGAGTGTATGTCTGTGGGTACAGGAGATTGTTAGAGAGTTTAGGAAGCAGGAGAGGGGGTTAGGTAAGTGAGAGAGTGGTCCTTGTGAGTTATGGTGGTTATAGATTGTGGGGAGTGAGATGGGAATGTGTTGGTGAAGGCGAGTAGTTATGTATCGCATCCTGAGTTGAAGCTTACAACAGCTAGGCGTACTCCAGTCATGGATATTAAGAAAACTGAGAGTATAGTTTCGAAGGAGGAAGAAAAAATTCCGACTGAGTCTCGTCCAGAGACTAAGCCTGCTAAACCTCACTCTGAAATTAAGCCTGCGAAACTTCACCCTGAATCTAAGCCTAGATCTGAATCTAAGAGGAGTTCTGAATCTAAACCAAGCTCTGAAGGAAACTCAGATGGATGGGAGACAATATGTACGATTAATATCTAACTCATAGTTTTTGATGAGGAGAAAGATATTCTTACTCAAGAAGACAGCAAGAAAGTGCTTGTCGACAAGATTAACGAAGCGTCAGAGGCCATCAAGAAGGTTGACAAAGCTTCAATTACAGAGCTTAAAGCCTGAAGGACTCCAGTTCAGGTTATCAAGACTGTCATGAGTGGCATGCTAATTGCACTTGGAGAAAAGAAGAACATTACTTGGGATAATGCAAGGATATTATTAGCAAATCCTAAAGAATTTCTTCAGAGAATAGTTGAATACGATGCTGCTAATATTGACTACCATACTTGCAAAAGGATTAAGAACAAGATTGCTGATATATCTCTTGAGCAAACAAGAAATGTAAGGAATCTATTATAGACGAAAATTTAATTGCATTGGCTACTTACTTCAGAACTATTAGTATTTTCTTCCTGATTTCTCTGCTTTACCCAATTTATCATCTTGGAATGTGTTCACAAGAATAATATGTTTCTAGGCAAGTACAGCAATAATGTCTTTTTACATATGGTTGAAATCAATAGTCAGCTTCAGAGCTTTTAAAGCTATAATTGAGAATGAACCTGTTCCTCCCAAAGAGAAAAAGAAAAACAATCATAAGAAGCAAGTTAAAGCTCCAGTACGAGATCCTATCAGGACTCCCATTAGGGCTCCGATTAGAACTCCAGTTAGAGCTTCAGTAAAGACTTCTGGAAAGACCCCAACAAAGACCCCAACAAAGACTCCAACAAAGACTCCTGTAAAATCAGCTAAAGGGGGCAAGGAAGAGACAAAATCAGAAGAAAATGCTCCTACTCCAACAAAAGCAGTGAAAACTTGGAAAGATCTCTGTAAGAACTTCATTCTTATTTCTAGTAATTGCTGACTCAAACGAAGCCGATGCCAATCCTGATGATCTTGAGTCTATTCTCGCAGATGCCACTAAGTTTGAATTTAATATCGACAAATCTGATGTAGTTGAAATTAAATCACTGGCTAAACCTCCTGTCATAGTTCAAAAAGTACTAAATGGAGTCACTGCTGCCTTTGGAATAAAACCAGAGGCAAAACAAAAAGACTGATCTTGGGTAGTGATCAAGAAGAGGCTCAATACTACATTCCTTGCTGATCTGAAAAATTTTGACAAAGATCACATTGACTTTAAGACATGCAAGAAAGTTCATTCTTACATCAAAGATCTTTCTGCTGAAGAAGTTTGCAAGGTAGGCAACTATTTTCATCATAATTTTCAACCATGGTTTACCAATAAATCTATAGGTCTCCAAAGGTGCACTGACCATTTACAATTGGTGCAAGACTCTTGTCAATTACAGAGCTTACCTCGCTCTTTCGAGAGACGAGGAAGTGCCTAAAAATATTCCAAAGAAACTTGAAGAGAAGAAGCAAAAACCAAGACCTAAGACTGCAGCAGTGAGGCTTACTGCTAAGAAAGAAGAGACTAAGGAAGAGAAAAAAGAAGAAACAAAGGAGGATCCAAAGGCGAAGATCACCACCTGGGAAGATCTTTGTAAGCTTTTTATTCATCCTTAGTCATCTTCAACTCTGGAGAGCAGCATTATACTACTGATGACTTAGAGCAGATCAGACAAGGAATGGATAGCTATAAAACAGATCTTAACAAGAAAGATATTAGTTTCCTTTCTTCATTAGCATGTCCTCCTGTGGTAGTCACTAAGGTCTTCACTTCTGTAATGGTTGCTTTTAAACAGAAAGAGACAGCATGGAAAGACATCAAGGCATTCATCAAAAAGAAGGAATTCTCTCAGTCTCTTTTACACTATGATATTGATCAACTTAGTTTCCTAATGCTCAAGAAGATTTATAACCATGTCAAAGATCTTAATGAAGAAGGAGTTAAAGCTGTAATTAATTTTTCTCGCATCCTTAGACCATTTCTAAGCAATGAATATAGGTGAGCGAAGCAACCTTGAGCATGTACTTATGGGTCAAGAAGATAGTAAACATTAGAATAGTCAAAGCACTTGAAAATTCAGAGCCAGTCCCAGTGCTAAAGAAAAAGAAGAAATAAATACTCTAAGATTCTCAAAGACTGGATTCATGTTAGGAAAAATGGTAAAATATTTAAGAGTCCAGCCTAAAATTCCGAATTGGGGTTTTGGGGTTTTGGGGTTTTGGGGTTTTGGGGTTTTGGGGTTTTGGGG